AGCCAGGGTCTCTCGGGAGGTCTGGACCGTGTACCCAAAACAGCCATTGCAGCTACATGAGCCACAGTCCTAAATCTCGCCCATTTCTCCTCGACATCTGGAGGAGTGGGGGACGATGCCAACGCCAGCCGCAAGCGATGATGAAATTCTCGCTTGCAACTTTCATCAGCTAGATGAGACCATGCCACTATGGGTTTGAATGGGGTCCTGGGAGTACACCTTCCACTGGAGTGGAAGAATGGCAGGCACATCTTACAAATGACAAGTCGATGGTCAGTGGGCAGGTCAGCTCCACGGTAGGTCCTGGTGACAAGGACATGCATGGGCCCACATCCGCTGTTCCATCACTATGCAGTCCAGCAGATGTTCTTGCTTAGATCCGGCATGCATCCATGATGTTGTATGGATGCGCCGATGCCGGAACATCGTGTTGGCTGCACAAAAATCTAGCAGCCTCCTGCCGTTGTTATTGAGCATACATGTACACAGCATACACACACCATACACACGGCATACAGGCACACAGTATACATGCAACATACATAGCGTACAGGCAGACAGCATAGACAAATAGCATACATATGTAGAGATGTGATTATGCACTCTCCATGCTACCAGCCGGTAGTATCCCACACGTGTCAATAGGGGGCGGTAATGTAACTAAACCAGTGTTAACGAACTATGGGTCAAGGGGGCCAACGGTAACCCCGATGGGAAAACGATCTTGGGACGCAGACCCCAGACCCCGGGAGGAGGGGGGCTGGGGGATAACGTCACCCTTCCAGGATCTGGTCGAAGGTCCTGGAAGGAAGGCGTGGCTGGGGCGGAGCAAGCCACGGACTTGTATAAAAGCCGGACCTCTGAATGGTCCAGGCAGTCGTCGTCCACCCGAAGACCAAGAGCCTCCTGAAAAGAAGAGCCCGATGGGCAGAGCCGAACCCCTGGCAAGGGTCAGCTCTAAGCTATACCAGTGAAGACTGAAGAGAAGAGCCCGATGGGTAGAGTCGTACCCCTGGCAAGGGTCAGCTCTAAGCTATACCAGTGAAGACTGAAGAGATAAGCCCCATGGGCAGAGCCGTACCCCTGGTAAGGGTCAGCTCTAAGCTATACCAGTGAAAACTGAAAAAAAGAGCCAACGGGCCGAGTCGTACTCCTGGCAAGGGTCGACTCCAGCTTATAGACCAGTAAAGACCAAGCTTCAATCAATAAGGGGTAGAATAGCCAGTGAGAGGCGTATCGGGTGTAAGGGGCCGTTACCCCGTTATTATAAGCGACTCTCCTCTAGTTATTGACCCACTACAACTGGTGTCAGAAGTGGACAAGAATGGAAACTAGGGGACATCGTACCACGAGCTCGGGAGAAGACAACGACGACTCAGCTGCAGGGACAACGAGCCCTGCAGAGGACGGTGAGGTGCTGCCGGCTGCCCAACAGCCAGCGCTCCGAGCTGCGCATTCCTGCCTCACCGAGCTGCTCCATGCTGCGGCCTCAATTCTGAAGGAGATTAATCGCAGAGGGCCGATGGTGGAGGCGGTGGACGGGGCAGGGCTGCCACCAACGGCTGTTCCCGCCATTGGCGGAGGAACATCCGCTGGGAGCGGAAGTCAAGTGCATCATGGGAGCCGCCTGAACCAACCAGTGGACGCCGCATCATCAACGACAGACGTATGCAGGCCTGACTAGCCAGCGGACCCCGCGTCATCAGCAACGCGACCTGCTATGGAGGCCGCCATTCTGCCAGCAACCGCAACCAGTAAAGTAGATGCCGAGCAACTCACCACGGGGCGCGCGCCGTCCTTTCAGCAACGACTGCCCATCCTAAAATAATTTGTGGCGGCGAGCGACGGCGGGCGGCGACTGGGCAGCCTTCCAACGCCGTTTCCTCGCCCACCAGGAGATGGCGGGCTGGACTGAGGCGGAGGCGCTGCGTGCGCTCCCAGCCGCCTTGGATGATGACGCCCTCGTCGCCCTCATCACCATCATGAAGGCGGACCGGACGACCTTGCACCTGGCGCTCCGACGGATGTCGGAAATCTACGGGACGCCCTCGGACGCTCGACACCGATTTGCTACACGTCGACGGGGTGACACGGAATCCCCCCTCGCCTTCCGCAGCACCCTGCTGGCCATGACAAGGGCTGCCTTCCCGCGGATGGACAACAAAGCCATCGACACCCTCGTTTTGGAGAAGCTGTTGGCGCTGGCCCAAGAACTACGCATCATCATCCACGCTGTGGATGGCGATGACATGTGCTCACTGCACGCCGCCAAGAACATCCACAACCATATGCTGCTCCACTGGGATTCGGGCATCGCCACCTGCACGATGACTACGGAACCGTGCTGCACGGCCGACGACCCTCCACCTGAACAGGCCTTCGCAACGACTCGCCCTCCGGGATGGAGGGCTCCCGAACGTCCACGATGTCGGGACAACCGCCTGCGAGGACGGGCTTCTCCGTGGCCAAACGTCACCTGCTTCAACTGTGGTCTGCGAGGCCACATGTCAGCCGAATGCCGAGCGCCCCCGACGCCGCACCTCCTGACCCCAGCCATCCGATCCTCGGGCGCCCATGACGGTACGGCATTCCCAGGTGAGTCGCGGCACCTCACTTGCTCAGCCCCCACACTCACCTCGCACACCTCACTGCTTGTGCTTGCCGGATGATGGGCAACGGAGAGCGAGACTGTTGTGATTCTAACAGGGAGCTCCAGCCTGCTCAGTGGTCGGAGCTGGCCTTATTATAACGGGGGCGTATCTGGGGTAAAGGTGAAAGGCGGAGTCAGTCGAGAAGCTCCAGGAACCAGACCGAAGGTTCTGGAAAGGGGGCATGGCCAGAGGTGGAGCTTGGCTGCGCCAGGCAGATATAAGCGGGACCGAACCAGAGGTTCGGGGCTGTTGCGGGTCCTGGGTCCTCGCTGCGTCGCTGCTCATCGTCGTCTGGTCGTCTCCGATCACATGGCCGATCTTCTGGAAGACTCTCTCTCCGTTGCTGCGCTGGTCGAACAACTTGCGTAGCGAAGCCGGAAATGGGGCTACGTGTTCCGATCGCCTATGTGTAGCTGCGTTACACAATGTATTGCCCAGTATGCTCTTAATAAATAAGAAGCCTTCTACTCGACGTGTCTCAGAAACCGCACACTACACAGGCACACAGTATACACAGCATACATATGTAGTGGTTTAACGCGTGCCAAGGGGGGTAATTGTAAACACGTGCGGGTTGGGGATAGTGGGGTCGTATCGGGACATGCTGGTGTTGCTGGGGGACAACGGGTGAGGCGGAGATGGCCCGTTAGGCAATTATGGATGCAGGACAATGACTGTTCGGTTGTTGTTGTCAGGGACAAGGTGGCGCCTGTAAGTCTGGGAATGGGAATAGGTGGCAGCGGGGGCCGGGGGCGCGGGGCGTTGGGGGGACGCCAGTTAATTAATTGGAAATTAATAGGGATGGGGATAAATACGGGAGCGTCAGAGTAAGACGGAGAGTTGTGCTGGGAGCTGGATGGAGACGGTCCGAGCAGAAGAAGAAGAAGATACGAGAAAAAGTATAGGGAAGCAGTGGAGTGGAAGAAGAAGTATTGGGTAGCAGAGGAGTGGATGAAGTATAGGGTAGCAGTAGAGACGGAGACGAGAAAGATATGAGAGGTAGAATAGGGTAGCGGTGGAGCAGGGGAAGAAGAGAAGACGAGAGGACGGATCGGCTAGCAGTGGAACGGGAACGAGAGAGACAGTCGGAGTGAGACGGAGAAGCCGAGAGAAAGCGACGGCTGGAGAGGGACGGAGAAGCAGAGAGGAGAGTCAGGAGAGACGGAGAGAGAGGGGGAGGAACGGAGCAAGCGAGGCCGGCGGAGCGTGGTGAGCGAGCGGAGAACGTGCTGTGGAGTGGTGGGCGAAATGTGCTGAGTTTGATAAAATAAAGTAACGACAGAAAAGAAAGAAGTTGTCCTCAAAGTTCAGCACTACACATACATATGTAATAAAGGACTCTTGCACTGGGTCTGTCTCCGTTGTCCTTTATTGGTTCGTACACTTTGCCCGCACAGCGTCTCGCTCAGAGTCCCCTCCGTCTCCCGCTCGGCAGCCCCACTGCTGCCGTCGCTCCTGCAGACTTGTTGCTGGCTCACTATGCAGCCCCGCTGCTGGCTCGTTACTCAGCCTCTCTGCCTCTGACCTGCAGCCCCACGGCTGCTCACTATGCAGCCCCGCTGCTGGCTCTCCGTCGCCTCTGTGCCCGGACACCGCTGGCCAACAGTGCCGAGTCCCAACCCTGTGGCGATCACGCCACTTTCCTTCTCCTGCCCTGCGTGGCCTCCTCCTGTCTTTATTCTCTCACTCTCTCCCAGCCCTTCCGGTTCCTGTCCTTAAAAGCTCTCTCTCTCCCCACGTGACCCTAACTCCTCCCACCTGTTACGTCACATCCCGCGAGCCCGTTTACGCTCGCATTACACATACACACAGCATACACACATGATACACGCAGTATTCAGGCATACAGCATATAGGTACACAGCATACACACAGCATACATAGAGGCACATAGCATACATACAGCATACATAGAGGCACACAGCATACACACAGCATTGGCTGGTCGGTTTCACCGGGCGTGGGTCGGTAGCCAAACCCATGCATACCAGCAGCAGGGTGTCGCTCATTCATTGGATGATCAGTTATTTATGCTATTGCTACTGCTAGTTCTACGACTGCTATTACGTATCCCATATTATTTTTTCGTTACTTAGCGCCTTGACTAAGGCGCCAAACAAATAATTAATTACTTTTACAGCAGAAGTGTGACCAGATTAGTTGATGAGAAGCACGGTAGTACATGAGTATGTTGATGCGTGAAATACACTACGATGAAAATGACAATGAGCAGCTACTGCTGCTCTTGCAATTGCTGTTGTTGCTACCGTTGTTGCTGCCACCTCTGTTGCTGTGACTACTATTGATGTTGCTATTGCTACCATTGCTATTGCTGCTGCTGCCTGTCACCTGTTGCTGAACTCGACGATGGACATCATGTCGTTGCAGGCCATGAGCGCCGGCCGGTTCTCCAGCAGGATGCAGGCGCACACGAAGAGCTCGTATGTGTAGTCGGCGTTCACCGACGGCAGCTCAGGCCGTACCAGGCCCTCTGTGGTGACACATGGATGGAGTGACGGACGGACGCACGCACGCACATGGACAGATTAGGAGCGGCGATGAGGCCCCATGGTTAGGGTCACGCGTTCGTCGCTAGCTGAGAAGGTGGCCCAGCTATACAAGGTTGGCTCCCATCTGTTCCCCTCTGTATGGGATACAGCAGGGGTCGGCAACCAGAATGTCAAGAAGAGCCACGATGCGTGTAAATACGAGACGGTGGTCCTTCATGAATAACGTCACAAAGCCGGTCCTTAAAGAACCATAGGCGGCTCCGAAGCCGCAAGTTGCCGACTCCTGGGATAGAGCATTCTCAGTAAATATGGAACATTGGTTCTAACCACACGCTAACGTTTGATACATGTTGCACGCTTTCTGGGTTGCCCCCTCATATGCGTGGGTTTATTCCAGGTGCTCTGGTTTCTACCAGCATGTTAAACACTCCTCCATTGACTCTGGACCGGTTTCAATACAACTTTCTCATCAACAGAGTCAGGCTTGCTTTAGTCAAGTTGATATAGGTTTCCAGAGACTAATCTATAAACTAAACTATTATTTATTTTACCAGGTAAGGCCCACTGAGCTATATATCTATTTTTTAGAAGCGACCTAGCTACAAATGATAGCTCAACGAAGTGTCTTATCATGTGGAAATTTATAGTAGCCAAATACTCTAAAAGCATGTTTCTAAATATGGAGGGAAAAACTGGTGGACCCGGAGAAAAACCACACTAACACAGGGTGAACATGCAAACTCCAAATATACAGGCGCCAGGGTCAGAAACGAACCCAAGACCTCCTGTATACCAGGCGAGGAAGTTAGCATCTTGCCACCGTGACACCACGACACCACGAGATAACATTTGTGCAGAAATAAGCGATACACATGCGATGCTCTTAACAATCCATGACCAGGAAACACGAGTAAATGGCTCAGTGCCATCCGGTGGGGCAGGATTTATCCCAACCTAGACTGCTGTGATGCTGCGAGCCAAAAGGAAATGTTACAAATACCGGCAAAGGGGATTACACATGGTGGCAAGCAGTGAGACATAGTGGCGGATACAAGGCAGGAGTGATGGGGCAATCACAGCCCCCCCCTCCCACCTTGAAACTCAAAAGAAAGGTATTTTATGCTCTTTAGTTCCTTCGGTAAAGTCACGTAGGTAGAAAAATAATAGATCACGACGTTTCGATCGCAACACAAGCAATCGTCTTCAGGTGGGACAACCACAGCAAGAAAAAACTGCTGAAGTAGGCAAACTGAAGACGATTACTTTACCGAAAGAACCAAAGAGTTTGGATTCCTGCAGTCACGAAAGCTTCAAATCAAGATAGGTCTTTTATGGATATTCAGATTTATCATAAATAATACATTGAATATGTTTTTGTTCTACTATTTAAAAAAGTTTAAATATTGGGACCATGCCTCCAGCCCCCAACCTCCCACCGCTCCCCTCCCTGCCTCCCCATGCTTCTCCCCCCCACCTCCGTCACAGTGACCTTATCATCGTTGCACCATGAGTCGTCTGTGCCGTGGCATCAGTGGTCGTGTGCGGTGCCGTGGGCGCTGCCAACGTCTGCCCTTACCCTGATTCTGCATGCCTGAAATGTGCGTCTGGTGCCGCACCCTATCGGCCTCCAGTGACGTGAGCTCCAGGTGGTGGCTGCTGAGGATCTCAAAGAGGCGCACGGCCTCGTCGTGTGGGAACTCCCTCTGGAAGCCCAGCAGCAACCACCTATGCGGTAATAACGACAACGACAACAAACGCAAGGAAGGAGAAACCATGAACACGCATTATTACGCGACGTTTTCCCATGTGCAGTCGAGAACCTGACGTGTAGCTATCAGGCCAAATGCATTTGCATATTTGCCAATAGTTATTTTTGCTCTGCCTTGTGTCTCCCAAGTTTTTGGCAATAACCCTTTGATCAATTAGGGCCTGTTTTTCAGAGAGTAAGTCCCTAGTACCAACACTACTTTGTACGAAAGTTGTGTCCAGATTGGATCGTCTGCACGACCATTATCGTATCTCCCCGTTACAGATGGACGGCGCTTGTGGACCATGTACCCCAAACCTTAGGTGAAGTGCAAGTGTAGTGTATCGGACGAGGCACACGCAGAAATCTGGAGGCACCACAGTTTATTATAACATCTAGCCTAGGGATAACACAACGCTTAACACTAAAACGCAACACTTGGGAAGGGGGAATCTACTCTAGACCCCTTGAAGGGGGTCTCTTATCCCTCAGCCCTTCTAGCCGATCTCCCGGGCTCCCCGCCGCGCCGCCACACCAATCGCTTCCCACACCGGACTGAGGCCTCCGCTTCGCCCCCGTTCCTCTTCCCTGCTCCAAGCCTCACCCCCCGGGCCGCCCCCGGCCACGCCTCCTGCTCGGTCTCTTGATAGGAACAGGAGCCAGTGTCACATTTCCCCGGGCCCTCCCCATCCGGGTCCCCTTAACTCCCCTGAGCCGGCACATCCAGGCAGGGCCGCTTCCCGTGACGTCTCCGTCAACTCCCCGCAGATGTTACGTGCCCTCACTCATATCAATCGTGGGTGCTTCTCGCATACACACCGTAGGGACGCTACTTACATTCCTACACAAGCATTAATAAAAACACATCACAGCAAGCCCAGCCATCTGTCACGTGTTGAACCAATGCTGCGGACATGCACTCTCAAAAGGCCTTGTGGTTGAATGGAAGTGTGAAAAATACTTTTTTTATGTGGAGGGACAGATATATGAAGGAGATATGTCATCTGCTTATTTATGTTGGGACTGATATTATCTATAATGATGTGAATGCTCATTTTGTATGAGGCATCAATATAATTTTCCATCCAACCTCACTGGTTCAAGCAAACCTCACTGCTGGTGAGACACTGTATGTTGACACCGGTCCAGAGTTTTTCTTGTTATTGAACCTCCCAGAAGGCCTCGTGGTGGACATGGAGTGTAAGTAATACACTGTTCTGTTACTGACATATGTGGTGTCACAGGGATATTAAGGAGATATATTATCAGATTATAATCTGTCCTCGCTGCGTTTTATATGCCGTGTTGGTGGCATATCAGAGCAATCAGCTGGGACCTCGCATCTCAGCCCAAGCCACACAGGGTGCTTACACATTGACGGCTTGAGTGGACGTCTCCCCTGAGTGGCTCGTGTCTCTACAGTAGACCTCTTATCTGCGCAGTGACTACAATATTGCCACCCACGTGGCTGCAGGAGCCCAGAGGTACAGATGATGATGCGCATAAGATGGCAGGAGGGGGGCGAGATGCTACCTACCTCGCCCGGTATGCGGGATGTCGTGGGTTTGATCCTGACCCTGACGCCTGCTGTATATTTGAAGTTTGCATGTTCTCGCTGTGGTCGTGTGGATTTTTCTCCGGGTCTTCCGGTTTTTCCCTCCACATTTAGAAATATGCGTTTAGAGTATTTGGCTGCTAATAAATGTCCACATGATAAGCCATAAGAGTTTTTTTCTGGGTTATATTGCATAAATATAAAACATGTCAATTCGTTACGAGTACAGCACATTGGTGTGTTGGAGATAAGCCACTTTGTTGAGCTATCATTTGTGTCCAGGTCGCTTCTGAAAAAGAGCTCTAGACCAGACATGGGCAAGGCACGGGCCGCGGGCTGTATACGGCCCGTTGGGCTTTTTAATCCGGCCCGCCGAACTTGTCCAAATATTATTATTAAATTAAATTTTACCTTCCTCCTGTAATGCCCCCATTTCCCAAATAGATGGCGGACTTTGACCGGGAGAGAGAGAGAATATTCGTATGAGCAATTCATGTTTCTATTTGAAGTAAGTTAACAGTAATATTTGGGTACAGTATTGTTTTTGGAAGCATTCACTGTAATATCGTAAGAACGTTAACTTCACCGCATCATCGTATGAATGATGCGAGAAGAGATTAACGGGTTCTTATGTTAGCGATTTACGTACTCGGCGCTTTCGCTCTCTAAATTACGGCTTGAATGAGGGGGAGGGGTATGACTACATCACAAAATTAATATCTTACCAGGAATTTTATATAACAAAAGTTATATACATAACTGATACGCTTTGTGTAATTCAACAAAACAAACAAAACTTAACTCCGAGTTCTCTCAGAATTTCACGAGTCCGTTCTAGACCCCACAGTTTTTTAAAGAGTTTTAAGCACAGAAAACATAATTAAAGTTTGATAAATCATTCATTATACAAACTTTTCAATAATTTCCTTCTTCACTTCGATTTCAATTTTCTTTAAAAACTTCTTCTCACCAACATTACCACTCATTACCACTTTCTCCGAAGGCAAGTTTGTAAAAGAATGCATGGTACAGACATCAGACATCTTGTGTCCGGAGATCAAAAGCAAATTTGAAAAAGTCAGTTTATCACGCAGGACTGTGACTCGCCGTGTGGAACTGATTGATCAAAATATAGCCAGTCAATTAAACAAAAAGTCTGATTCCCTTGAATTATATTCACTAGCACTGGATGAAAGTACGGACGTAAAAGACACTGCTCAGCTCCTCATTTTTATCCGAGGCATTGACGACAGTTTTGCGATAACAGAGGAATTTTTGACCATGGAGTCCCTGAAAGGAACAACGCGGGGAGAGGACTTGTATAACCAGGTATCTGCTGTCATCGAAAGAATGACCGTTACCTTGGAGTAAACTTGTCAATGTCACAACGGATGGATCGCCAAATTTAACTGGAAAAAAATTTGGGCTGCTGAAAAGAATCCAGGATAAAGTGAAAGAGGAAAACCCTGTCCAGGATCTTATTTTCCTTCACTGCATCATCCATCAGGAATCCCTGTGTAAGTCTGTATTGCAGCTTAATCATGTCGTGAATCCAGTCGTAAAACTTGTGAACTTTATACGAGCAAGGGGGCTTCAGCACCGTCAGTTTATTACGTTCCTGGAGGAAACTGATGCGGATCATCAGGACTTGCTGTACCACTCTCGTGTCCGCTGGTTAAGTTTGGGGAAAGTGTTACAACGAGTGTGGGAACTGAAAGAAGATATCATCGCATGTTTGGAGTTGATGGGGAAATCTGACCAATTCCCTGAGCTAAGCGACAAGAACTGGCTTAGTGACTTTGCGTTTCATCTTCTTGGTTCTTTCGGTAAAGTCACGTAGAAGGGAAGTAATAAAATGATAAAAATAAAACATAATAAAACAATTCTCACGACGTTTCGGCCACAACGCAAGCAGCCGTCCTCAGGTGAAAACCAGGTCCGTCGAGGCGACAGAGTCTGAATGAAACAGCACACGAGCTTGGAGCATATATATAAGCTGGGCGCATTGACAAAGGAAGTGCAGCAGCAGCAGCAAGTGCAGCAGCAGCAGCAACTGCAGCAGCAGCAGCAACTGCAGCAGCAGCAGAAACTGCAGCAGCAGCAGCAACTGCTGCAGCAGCAGTAACTGCAGCTCCCTTTGATGCTGTTAATCCTGCATAATGCACATGCATATGCAGTACTAATCACATTCCTGCATTTCCCATAAATATGCTAAATTCCTTTTGATATGCAAATTCCTTTGTCAATGCGCCCAGCTTATATATATGCTCCAAGCTCGTGTGCTGTTTCATTCAGACTCTGTCGCCTCGACGGACCTGGTTTTCACCTGAGGACGGCTGCTTGCGTTGTGGCCGAAACGTCGTGAGAATTGTTTTATTATGTTTTATTTTTATTATTTTATTACTTCCCTTCTACGTGACTTTACCGAAAGAACCAAGAAGATGAATCCCTGCAGTCACGAAAGCTTTAAATCGAGACTTTGCGTTTGCTGTGGACATATTTTCACACATGAATGAGCTGAATGTGAAACTGCAGGGGAAAGATCAGTTTGTTCACGACATGTACAAACATGTGAAAGCCTTCAAATCCAAGCTCACTTTGTTCTCCGGACAAATTGCGAACAAATATTTCGCTAATTTCCCCACACTTGCCATGCAGGAAGAGGCACCGCGAAACGCAAAAAAATACAGCAAATCACTTGAGGACCTGCACGGAGAATTCTGAAATAGGTTCTCTGATTCCGAAAACATTGAACAGTCACTTCAGCTGGTGTCCTGTCCCCTGTCACAAGACCCTGAAACAGCACCACAGGAGCTGCAGTTGGAACTGATAGATCTTCAGTCTGACTTCGTCCTAAAGGAAAAGTTCAACTCTGTTAAACTGAATGACTTTTATGCTTCACTTAACAGAGCCACGTTTCCAAACCTCCGGAAGACTGCACAGAAGATACTGACTTTGTTTGGCTCGACTTATGTGTGTGAGCAGACATTCAGCGTCATGAACGCCAACAAAGCCCGTCACAGATCAAAGTTAACGGATCAGCACCTCAGATCTATCCTGAGAATTGCCACAACCAAAATAACTCCAGACTTGGATGCACTGGCAAAAATGGGAGATCAACAACACTGTTCCCACTGAAACTGAAAGTGATTATGTGTTGCTGCAGCGAGGTTGGAGCCAAATCTCCATCACACAGCCTGCGTGGCTGCTCTAACCTGTTAATGTAGATAATAAAGAAGTTCAAGTGAGGTAATTGGTTTGGGCGCAGGCCTCGGATGTTTTCATGTTGTTTGATCAGTCACGTTACGACATGTTTTTGTATTGTTCATGTTCGTGTAATTTGTTAAATTGCCTTGCAAATAAATGCTTTGCTACCTGTTAAAGGCCAAATCCTTTCATGTAATGATTTTTACATGTCATTTA